TTTGAGTAAACACAGACGAGGGGCTGTGCTGCCCGAATTGGGGGATCTGGTGCAAGTAAATGGCTTTGTGGACCCTCGTCATTCTTCCTTTCCAAAATCCCCTCCCCTTCTATCACTATTGTTGTATGTATATAGAGAGCTTACTCACCGGAAACAAATTCCTTGTGTGTCTAATCAAACGCCAATAAAGAATTCTATACCTGAGGACAACTGAAGAAGAGGAGTTGGATCCAAGCCCCATAAATAAGAACCTCTGGGGTGGCTGCATTCTACGGCGAAGGGACTTACCTTCTGCCCCAACGGCAACAGCAGCAGCAACTACACTTATAATACAATATATTTTTTAATCAGGTTTTCAATTGATTTAGAAAGAGGAGAAAAACTCGTTGGGCCCAATACCGGTTAGCAGCTTAAACCTCTATTGTGTACAATAGGGCTTATGTGTAAGTAAACTGGCATATGGTCTCTACTTTTGTGCCAAACTTAATAGGACTACTTCTCTGGAAAGGAATAGGATTGCAGTATTGTGTGCATGCAAGAGACACAAATGTGTGTATGTGTGTGGGCAGGTGTACGCATAATACCGTAGTGGCAACAACTGACAAAATTCTGTTCTTTATCCCAACACACCTGAATGGGTCTTTCTTTCTTTCTTTAGTTCTAAGGGGAATTATTTAAACATTAAGGATGTAGACCTGTGCATGCATGGGATACATGGAATTCACGGAGATTTATTTGCCAAGGAAGATGTCCTGGTGTTGAGTTCCAATAGTAAAGGCAAATACATTTTTCAATGGAAATAAACTCATTAAATGGGATTGCAGCATAGCATGAATACAGATTAAGCTCCACCAAACAGAGGCCTGCTTTCTGCACCATCAACACTCATGGCAGGATAAATACATCAATGCTTATTTTTTTTACTCCAAGAGTTTAGTTCAGCATTATAGCCTCAATATAAACATATACAGTCCTGAACCACAAATGTACAAAAAGCATGACCACATGTTAACCAGCTGGTCCAATAAAAGCACTGCATGCGCTGGGAAACATATGAATACCCCCGTTTCCATAAGAGTTAATTTCCGAAATATATTGTGAGTATAACTTCATTTCAAGGGAGGTATAAATTGCACCAGAAACAGGATTTAAACTATTTTCCTATAGCCCCACGAACATGGCGAGTTACATTCCATTAGTAGTAAACCTCCTAAGAAATGTACTCACAACCTTTTGCGTCAAATGCGGCAGATTGTATTTGTGCAGAATTGTTTGCAAGGCTAATAGCCATTATCCACTAAGGTGTTAGCCTTCAGAACTATACAATTAGATTAGGTTCAGAATAAACAGCATTCTGTTCTTTGGGATTGGGGGTGTAAAAAATCACCAAGAATCCCTTTCTAGAATTTACTTCTAGATTGAAAAAAGCCCCAGTCCATTGAAGAAAGTCAAAGTAACACCCCCCCTTTTTTTAAATATTATAGACAGTGATTATGATTCCAGAACTCATTCAACACATTTCATTTTCCAGGAAAATCAATAAAAATATTCCCATTGATACAACCATTACAGGTATTTTTCATGCCAAGTTTTCATTCTAGTAATGAAATTGCTAGAATTTAATTCCTATATGGCAGAAAGGAATCAGTTAGGAAAGGAAGGAGACTTTCCTCTTATAACTGCGCTTGCTAAAGATCAGTTTATTCTATAAGTCTTTGCCTTCAAACTGAAATAAACTTTGGTGTGCTTGAAGAAAATAAGATATATTGTA